ACTGTGTTATATATGTTTTTAAAAAAAATTATGGAGCAACCCTCGTAATTGTTATAAATGTACTCAATTATAATTTAAGGCCTACATACCTTCGACGATTGCATCAACAGGACATGCTTCCTGACAAAAACCGCAGTAGATACATTTTGTCATATCAATATCATATCGTGTTGTTCTTCGGCTACCGTCTGATCTTTCCTCAGCCTCAATTGTGATTGCCTGCGCCGGACAAATTGCTTCGCATAATTTACAGGCGATACATCGCTCTTCTCCGCTTGGATAGCGACGAAGAGCATGTTCACCACGGAATCGTGGACTCAATGGTCCCTTTTCGAATGGATAATTTATTGTGGCTGGTTCTTTGAATAAATGGCCCAATGCAACGAACATACCACGCGATAATTCTGTCAAGAAAAGTGTTTGACTTGCTCGTTCGGTTAAAGCCTCATAACTCATGTCAGTTTCAACATTGTTTACGTAGATGTATCCGTCTTCGGTACGTCTTGGATCGGCAATTTCTTGGCCATCGCCTGGCTTTGACAAGCCAGTTTCAGTGGCATAACCTCTGCTTGATGCAAAACCAGAAGCAAATTGTGGCTTAATAAAATTCAAACCTAAATTATAAAAATTAAATTCATTTATTGTGACGTTCAACAACACAACTGATCCGTACTGATGACATAACATATCTTAACCTTAAATGATACCACTATTTACATGCACTATGAACAAATAAATTTGCTGAACATAAATGTAATATATTTTTTTACCATTTCGAGCCACAGAAAATAATCTAATCGCTGACATTTTCAATTCGGAAAAATCAATTCAAATACTATTTTATTAAAAAATATTTCTATTATAGCGAATGACTTTTATCGATGAATGAAAAAGAAAAAGTATTGTTTTTGACAGTTCACATTTCTGCTCAATATGATGACAATTCAGCAGTTCTTTGACAGCAGTTGATATGCATGTTTACAGTAGTTTTTTTCCGTAATACATTGAATTTTTGATTTCGGATTTTTGAATTTTCTCAATTAAATTTAACTTTTAATAAAATTTAATTTTCATAAAAATAAATTGGAAAAAATAGAATTCTATCCGACATTTTACAATATGAATGTAAACAAAAATATCAATAACAACATAATTGAAAGCCAGGGCTGCCAACTGTACCGCGAAAAAGCGTTCACATGAAAGAGACAGATGGAAAAAAGGCACACACAACCAAGATAATAGCTACTCAATGGCGGCGGCATTATTTCCAAGCAATATTGTTTTCATTTTCAATTTACCATTCAATTTTCTTCAGTTTCATTGTGCGGACGTTTATTATTAAACATTTTTTTTTCGAAAAAGAAGCGAAAAAAACATATAATTAGAAACTTGAAATAGATCAGACAATTGAGAGTAGTTTTGTGACGCGAAAATCTATGTTTACGTGTAGAGTTATTTCATAGATATGAATAGAGCCAAGAAAATTTACAATTTTTGAATGTTTTGTAATTGGCTTTATTAAATAGTAGAAAAATGAGTGCAGTTACTGAAATTCAGGTGAAGAGTGACTTATTTAAAGATGTAAAATATTATGTGACCGGATCTATTGAGCCAGAGGTAAAAAGATTTTGTTGTTGAAACTAAAGAACAACAACAACAACAATACGATATGAAAAAGAACATTTTTTTAGCGCGTAAATTTTTATTTTTTATTAGATTGAAAAACTTTTGGAAAATGGAGGTGCATCATCGACAAAGATTATGTTTACCAACATAACACATTTACTTTGTGGTAACGATTTCGATGAGAAAGATATTGGCGAAGCAACCGATATTTATGACATTCCCAGTGTGACCGATGAATGGGTGAAAGCGTGTGCTCGGCTTGGTCGATTGGTGTGTCCAAAAATTTACCATCCACTTCCAAGTGGTTTGTTTACATCGATTGTTGCAGCTATTACCGAATTACAGCCAAATGATCGGAAGATAATTTATGCACTGATTACATTTCATGGTGGATGCGTTGAACGGAATTTCACATCGAAAACAACACACTTAATTTGTGGATCGGCTACGGGAAACATTTATACCAAAGCAATTGAATTAAAATCGGACAAATTTAAATTAGTCACTCCAGACTGGTTTTACGAATGTCTCAAAGCACAAGAATTGCTCGATTCAAAGCCTTATCACCCTCGTCTATTAAATCCATCTAACACCAATTCCATTCGCGATAATCGCAGTTTGTCAGACATTATTGGAACAAATACGGAGACCAAGACTGCAACTAGAAAAACTGAGATCGTTAAATCTGCTAGTGAAACAGTTACAAAACAAATTTCTCAACAAATGACAAAGAATATTGTAAATACGTCGATAAACGTAGTCAATTCAATACCTACGGCCAAAACATCAATATCTCCAACGGCAGTCGAGGACGCCAAACCTAAACCATCCGAGTCTGTTCAGTCGAAGTTAATCGGCAATACGCATCCTTTACAACGGAATACAAGCGTGAATCAAACGTTATCCAATCAAATGGAACAACACGTTAAGGATCATACGAAAGTATGTGCTAGAATCGCATAATATTTGTTTTATTTCCCAAATCATTGTATTATAATTTCTTCTGTTTGTAGGAACAATCACAACAAATTCTACCACAAGTTAGCAAAACACTCACAATGACGACACAAGTTCATTCACAGTTACTTCAGAAACAACTTGAACAACCGCTTAAAATGGACAATGCGAATATTGTTATGCAAAATCAACCACAAATTCAACAAATACAAGCGGCACAACCTCAAAAACTCCTTCAAAATGTAAATATTATTGCTTTTAATACATCTCATCAGTGAATATTGAATGATAAATGATATTCTATCATCAAAAATTTAGCAACAGCAGCAACCAATTATGCAGCAAATGTTGGGCCAAGTAAAAATCGACCAGTCTAATCAGATGATGGGACAGAAGCAAGCTATGAACTCGATGACCATTCAAGGACAACAAAATATGCAGGGACATGTGCAGAATCTTATTTCACATCCACAAAATCAAATTCAAATTCAACCAATCCAACAACAACAATCGCAACAGCAGCAACAACATCCACAACCACAGCCACATCAGCAGTCCAATCAAATGCAACAGATCGTGGATCAAAGTGGTCAAATGCAGTTCATAAATTCAGCACCACCTGGAACACCAACGAACTTTAATTCAGTTCAACAAAATCAGCAACAAATGAAGATCATTCAACAACAGCAACAAATACAGGTAGGTTGATCTAAACAACCATGGATTATTTGTTCTAGGATTAATCCTAGATCAATTGACAAGCAATAGCAAAAACCATTAAAACCAAATACCATTTAACCATATTATCAGTTTTCTATTCCTTTTTTGAAAAAAATAAATAAAAAAAACATCGAAATTGTTCAGATGTTTGTTTTATCACATTTAATTTTAATGACACAAATTGTTTGATTTTTAGCAACCAACACAGCAGTTCATTGTGCAATCGCCAGGTCCAAATAAATCAACCATTTTAAATCAAAATGTTGTATTTATAAATCAATCGGGACAACAGCAAATAATTGCATCAAATCAGCAACAGGGAAATAATGTCGGTGAGTGTAAATGTATGCATAATATTATTCCTCTGTATAATTTGTTTAAAACAAACGATTCCATAAAATTTTCAGCGTTGATTCAACAACAACAGCAGCAGAGAAATATAAATACATCACAGCAACCAATGGTAATGGTTATATGCATATTATTTGCCGTCTTTCAAAAGTTTGAATATATTAAGTGTTTCCTTACATTTTCAGCAAATTCAAGGCCAACAAATTGTCATTCATTCATCTGTTCAACAGACGTCACAAAACCAGCTACTACAATCGCCGCAAGTAGTATTACTAGACCAATTATAGAGAATTTCCAATTACATTCAATTTATTTTCAGCAACAAACGCAGTTTATTGTACAAACCTCTCCGAGTCAGGGAACGCCAATGTTGAATCAATCTCCAAGTCAACGTATGCCAAAAGTACCTGGCAGCACACCAGGCAATTGGTTTTTGCAACAGCAGCAGCAACAGCAACAACAACCACAACAGCAATCACAAGTACAACAACAACAACAAGGAATGGTGCAAAGTTCAGATGTAACACAGGTAAATAAGAATTGTCTAAATGGAATACAAGTGATTACATTGATAAAATTTTCCTCCATATTTGTAGACGGTATCACTACAGCAAAAATTGATTCAACAGACACCGGGACCGAATCAACAGGTATGATACAAGCAAATTAAACAAAAAAAACTATGATATTAAAAGCATTTAATTTATTTAGATTGCATTCGCAAATATGCAAAATACTGAGCAACCAGAAGGCGTGATGACTCAGCAGCACAATCAGACAATTATGATCACTGGTAGTCAGGCACAGCCGCAGCAAACATCTCAAACTCCGCCTCTTCAACAAGTATAATTATAGATACAAGTATTCGAGTACGCTTACTCGCACTTACGGTGTTAGTAGACACTTTACCCCTCAAAATGAGTTACGCACTCTATTTTACTCTATTTTTGGTGTTAGTTTCATCAAACGTATGTGACGATACACTTAGCAATCATATTCGTTAGCGTATACACAGACTCATATGCACGCAATGAAACATAACTCGTTGAACGCATGTGGCAACGTACAGATGTACTACACATGTATCTCTTTTTTCACTGTGATGCGTTTACTTCGATGAAACTAACACCAAAAATAGAGTTAAATAGAGTGCGTAACTCATTTGTAGGGGTAAAGCCTCTACTAACACCGCAATTGCGAGTAAGCGTACTCGAATACTTGTTTCTGTGTATATTTACTTAAACTTCAAAACAAAAATCGTTTCAATAACAAATATATTTGATGGTTTTAGGGAATGATACAAAACCAAACACAAATGCAAAAGATGCATGTTCAAAACCAGCAAATCGTCGTCACACCAAATCAGTCGCCTCAACATGTAAATATGCAAATGCAAACGTTATCGCCACAACAGCCAAAGCCATCACAACAAACTGCTTTACCAGGACAAACGCAATTCATTCGAGCAGCTCGGTAACATTAAAAATAATTGTGATTTTTGTGAGAATAACTGCTCATTTTACTTTAATTTTTTGTTTTATGAATTTGAACAGACCACAATGGACTGGGAATCAACAAGGTCCACAGCGTCAACTAATTCACTTGGATGCTCAGACACATGCTCACCTACAAACTCTCGATCCAATTCAAAGAGCAGAATATTTATCCAAATTACAAAAGCGAAATCTTCTATTTCGTCAACAGCAACAAGGTTTGTTGGTGTTTATGAATATAACTTATTGCTTTGACACATTCATTTAAAAAACCATTGTTTTTTTAAAGGATTCATACAACAAGGCAATGCGGTTGGTGGTCAACAACGTCCGCCAAATCGCCCACAAATTCCCGGAGCACCGATACAATGGATGCAACAGCAGGTACATATTTGATTTAAAAATTCTATAATCGTATGCAAATATCAGAAAAAAAAACACAAATTGACGTATAATGAAAATATTAAATTATTTTCGATAGGTACTCTGATAGTAATATGACAAGAATAATAATCATTTCATAAAATCATTCTAGCAACAACTACAACAACGGCCAATGTTAGTACGAAGTGCAGCGCCTGGCTTAAGCCCAATTTCGCAACAAACCATCGTAAGTCCGGGTGGTCCTGTTCCGCAACAACAGTTTCAAGATCCAAATACTCCACCGCAGTTTCGGCGAATACAAATACAGCAAGGCGCTGGACAAAAGCCGATGGCACAAGGAAATATAATTCAGGTTCAAAAACAATTCACCGATAATTCTGACCAAGTGAGTGTATTTCCTTTATTATTAATATTCATTTTAATTTGGAATAATCAAAACTCCTTTTCCCATTGATTTGATCATAAAATAATAACAGCAACAGCCAACCCAAGGAGTGGCACCACAACAGGCTATTGGTGACGGAACAACAACAACACAGGTTCAAATGAACAAAACCAAGACAGCTTTGGCACATATGCTAAACAGTCGGTTAAGTAATAGTGGAAACAACGGTACAAATATGCCCATGCAAGCAGCTGATGTTCAACCAATTGTTGAGCCATCAGCAGCAGGAACACTGCGTATGATGACGGCACAGCATAATTCACCTGCTCAGCAAGTTCAGCAACAACAACAACAACAACAACAACAACAACAACAACAACAACAACCACCAACACCACAGCAATTCCAGGTGGATCCAAATACAACACCGCAATTTCAGCGAATTCAAATTCAACAAGCACCTGGACAAAAGCCAATGCCTCAACCCAACATGGTTGTTACAGCTCAAAAACCATTTTCGGAAAATGTCGATCAGGTAAAATGAGAGAATTCTATTTACTTAACATAAAGTTTATTGATTGAAGAAAAACTCTATTATAAAAACCTAGCAACAGCCTACAGTGCCAATTATACAACAATCATCACCAGTGGATGGAACATCTCTGCAAATTCAACTGAACAAAGCAAAATCAGCTCTACTACAATCACCATCTGGATTGAAATCTCCACCATTTAGTCCCAGTCGCCCATTGCCACGACCACAATTCTACGGACATAATCCAAACTTGAAACTTCCACCAAAATTGTTTTTACTCGGCTGTATTTTCTACATTGTAGAATACGATGAATCAAATCCAACTGATGTATTTAATTGGAAAAAATTGATTCAACAACATGGCGGTGAAGTTGAAACCGTTTACTGTCCACGAGTTACTCATGTTTTATGTCGTACACAACGTCATGGTGTCGTAATGCAAGCCATTCGAGATTCAAAGCGTTGTGTAACTGCATATTGGTTGAATGATACGATTACACGAAAACAGGTACAACCACCATTGGAAGCACTTCATTTGCCAATGCCCAGCACATTTGGCACACAACGACCAGCCGCAAAACATATAATTTCCGTAACTGGATTTGAAGGTGAAGAACGTTCCAGAGTCAAACAAATGGTTGAAGAGTCTGGAGCAATGCTAACGCCGTATTTTACACGACACAACTCGGTGTTGATTTGTAAGAAACTTGAGGGAAACAAATTTAAACGGGCAAAAGAATGGAATACACCGGTTGTAAATTGTGTTTGGTTAAGCGACATATTACAAGGAAATCTAAGCAATATGTCACAGTACGAACAGCAAAAATATCAACAATATAATCTCAGTGAACCACTTCGAATCGATTACACTTTGGTTGCCCATTTGATGAGTACGTTTAATTAAAATATAGATCATTTTTGAGACATTTCTTCATAAATTCAATTCGATATTATATTGCAGATGCATGGAAATCTCCAATCAACCTAACACAAGACTCCTACGAACGAGTTAAACGACTCATGGACGAGCCGATATCAAATGAACCAAAAGCAAAGAGAATTCGAAAATATGAACCATTGGAAGTACTACCCGATGAAATTGTGTGCAATGAAAAACCTGAACAAGTGCCTAGAATACTATTTTCACAAGTTGACAATTTAGAGGGGTTGAAAAAAGCAGTAACGTAAGTTCACAAACAGAGATTGTTTTCATTTCAATTGTTCATTTTAATTAAATATTCCATTTTGTATGCTATAGATCACTTGGTGGTGAAGTAGTAACGGATCCGGAAACCGCAACACATCTTGTTTTAACACATTTGGCGCGAACATATAAACTGTTATTCGCCCTTTGTTCCGTTGACCACATTGTAAGCAGCAAATGGATTGTGGACAGCGCAAAAGCAGGAAAATTCCTTCGTCCTGACGAATACACATTGAACGATGACAAATTTCAAAAATTCTTTGATTGCGATATTCAGAAGGTGATTAAATCGCCCACACGAAAAACTTTGTTTTCTGGTAAAACATTTTTTGTGACACCGCGCGTTCGGCCTACGCAACCAAACATTGTTAAATTGATTGAATTTTGTGGGGGAAAAGTGGAAGCGAAGCGTCGATCTGCGGCACAGATATCCCAAGCAAATAGCCACCAACCAGACAGTTATTGCATATTAACATGCACTGAAGACCTTCATTTGGTTCATGATCTGTTGAAAGTTGGCAAATCAAATCGTTTTATTTGCTCTACAGAACTCGCACTTACAGCAATAATGCACCAAAAAATCGACTATGATCCTCATATTATCACATACGATCGACCAAATCGATTTTGATACACTTTTGAAAAAAATATATATATATAATCTATGAGTCTATAGTGACATCACACTCTTCGTTTTATCTGTTCAATTTTTCCGTTAACTCTTTTTATATAGGCAAATACATTTATTTGAATATCTTTTGAAAAAAGAATCATCAAAGAATATTTAAAAAGAAATAATCAAAGATTTAATTTACAAAACATATTTTTCGAAATGAAATACGATGAAAATGAATAACATATTTAAGCAAAAAAATATTTTTATAGGATACTTACTTATGTTCTCGCCGATGATGTAAATACAATCGTTTGTTGGTACTTCGCTAAAAGCGTTTGATTCTTTGATTTGATATCACACTCAAAAATAAATGATTTATTCAGTTTTGTAAAATTTCATAGTTACGAATGTTATTCGGTATAGAATTGGCAAAATAATTTTTTGTATAACGAGTACAATTATTGGAAAATAAAGCTCAATTCTATTGCAATTTTATATCTTTATTCATATATGAATCATAAATTATTTACAATTATTACAGCCTTGATTTTTGAAATTTTATTCATACAGATTGTGAAAAGGATGTAAGCAAAATGGGAATATCTCTCCATTCTTTCGATTAATTTTCCATTATGTTCCACTGAATATATTCACAACATTCATATCATCAAAACTCTATTCAGAATGTAAGAACGACGCAGATTTCACACAAATACATCCAGCTTTATGTTGCTATACAATATCGATAGCACGATATCGCACTTGCTCAAATTGCATTAGAAAGAAAAATGTTGTGTTATATTCATAAACGGAGAAAGATAGGATGAATTTAAGATGGCAGCTGAAGCAAAAGATAGAGGATGAATTGGTAGAACCAACGAGCTGAACAAATCGAAGATTGACAACAGCAGTTGGCATGTACCTAAGAATACATTCATAATGGTCAATTTTGACTCGAAAGCATGTGGATAAGATAGGCAATGCTCACACGGCCATTCAACAAAACCACTATAGATCTAGTCTAAGGATTTTTATATAGACAGACTTATAATAGGAATTGTTGAAATAGCTATTTAAGAAGAGCTCGGAGGGCATTAGCAGGTGTAAATAGCAGAGCATATACTAAGCATAGATATATATCCTGGATATTTTGTCAGTATCCGATATTGATTGGAGCCAGACTTTAAAATAGAGTTAAAACAATAGCTTATTGTTATAGTGAATGTAGTAATGTAAATGGTTTTATACTTAGACCTATAACAATCACTTCTATTGTTTTCACTCCATTATAATGTCTGGCTGCGATAAATATCAGATACTCACAAAATATCCCGGATATATATCTATGCTCAGTATATGCTCTGGTAAATAGAGATATTCAAATATCATCGATGAAGGTGTTGTTCTTTGACCAAGATTAGTTTCAAACAAAGTTCGCATACTTATATTTTCCATTTTTCTTTTATGATTCACCCCCCAAGAAACAGATAAATTCGTTTACATAAAATATAAAAAGCTTACCTTTAGATTTTCCTTCCATTATTTCACTTTTGGAAATTACATTGATGTTACTTTTCCGCACACACCTAGTGTGAAAGGGGAAAGTATTGCAATGGGTCAAAATTTACGAAACCTCAAAAACATGTTTTCTGGACGTTTCTGAGGTCAGAGAACCCGAATCAGGCCGTTTTGAGCATGGTTGGTGTGGGTCTGTTCCACGTCGTACGTCGTACGTTGTCCTCTGTACGCAAAATTTGTCCATCGATTATCTCACCCCCCAGAAAAGTTATTTAAAATCTGACTTCACGGGATGATTGGGGGTCCCGAGGAATAGAAATCATTAGATTTTGAGCGACTTTGGTTGATGGAAAAAAAGTTCATGCCTGGAGTGATACCTATGAAAAAGACTCCAATTTTCGTCCAAAAGTCATACTTAATGTAGACTTAAACACTCAAAAATATGTATTGGGGGGTTTTTTGGCACGAGAAAACTGAATCTGACATTAATTTTGAGATACAATCAATTTTTAATAGAGTTTCCTTGAAAAAATCACAAAAAAATTGAATTTTTGTATGGGAGCCATGCCTGTATGCTTCTTTAATGACGTGAAACTTTGCACAGACTATTTTTTACACAAAAAAATAACATTCTGAAAGTTTGAAGAGATTTCAATTTCAAAATTAGGGGTACCTCCCATACAAAATTTTCAATTTTTGGCTCAAAAACGAATATTTTGTATGGGAGGTACTCTTAATTTTGATTGAAATTTCTCCAAATCCTCCGAATGTTATTTTTTTGTGAAAAAAATAACCCGTACAAAGTTTCACGCCATTAAGGTAGCATACAGACCCCAATGAGCACTGTGTAATGCTTGTTTGTATGGAATGTATGCATATGGCGTGGGTGAAAGTGTAATGCTTTTTTGTATGAATAGTATGCATAATATGAATGCTTGAGAAAAATCATGACTCAAATATTTTTAATTTGAAGAATGAAACATAAGAAAAAAATAACTATGAATGAAATTTGGAAAAAAAATATCAATAATTGAAACGTAAAAAAATACCACATGGATATTTATTTTGTTTCACTCTTGCGTGTTTAAATTTTATGATTCAAATTTGCCTACATTCGGGATATTTTTTTTATGTTTCAATGGAATTTTTTTCTTATGAATCGATCTTGTGAGGTTTCTTATAAAGTTTCACTCTTTGTAATGCACATTTTTCTATGTTTCATTTTTGAAAATTAGAAATAATTTGAGTCATGATTTTTCTCAGCCATTCATATATGCATAGTATGAAATTTCTGAAATTTTTGATACACTATGCACACTATACTTACTGCATTTTTTTAATTTTGGGCATATACTATGCGTAGTATCATATGCATACGACATGCATACAGTGAATGCATAAGCTTTAGTGAAAATGGCTCATTGGGACATGGCTTCCATACAAAAATCCAAATTTTTGTGACTTTAGTATGAAAAGTGTTTCAAAAATAATTTTTATGGCAAAATTGGCGCACTCGGCCGCTTCGTCGCTGTGATGTACACCTTAAGCGTGCATGTGATGATTGCGCATGTATTGTTTCTTTCACGCAACCCCTTCTCTGCTTTGAACTGTTTGTTTTGCGCCGTGAAATCGATGATAACCAATAAATCGATTCCAAACAAATTATTTTGAGTATTGTTTTAATATTCTAATTGGCGATTTTTTCCATATATTCGGGATTAAAATTTAATCCTTTTGGATTTTATATTAAAAAAAAAACAAAAAAAAATTATTTTCTAATCCATTCAGTTTTACAGTGTAAATTAAAGAATATTTCGTTGCCAAAGTTGAAACATATTTTTTGGTCTTGAACTCAAAGCCGCTTGAAAGGCTTGAAAAATCGAACAAATATTATTTTGAACTTTCTTAATAAAATACGCAACTACCACCGTGCGGAAAAGTTCGTCTTACTCCTGTAAGACTCTTTATTTTATTATAGTTTCTATTTATCTCATTTTAACAAATTAGATGTAGCTGAACAATTCTTAATACAAAAATCAACAAAATACCATTTATTTTGTTTTTATGTAAAATAATAAAAATAAATCAATAGTAAAATGTAGTAATTGAACATCATTTTTGTTGTATTTTGATCAATTTACTAAATGATAATAATAATTGAAGGCAGTATAAAGAACTAAATATACATTCTCATTAACAATTATTTTTTGAAATTGATTAGCTTGTTCTAACATTTTACGATTCATAAATTGGATTGAAATTGTGGTGATGAAGAAACGGAAATTTACAGTGACCGGTTCGCGCATATTTCTATGCTTGCCTAAATACGCTAGGTACCATAGATATCCCAAGCATAGCCGCAAACGCAACCGACGCATCGCCGTTCACTCTATATGAACAATACACATATTCGTTTATGCAGACGACCGTGCGCATACAATATAGCTCGAATCGAATGGCGACGGGTGCGTTGCGGCTTGCGTCTCCGCTATGCTTAGCATAGCTATCAGGCATAGAAATATGCGCGAACCGGTCACTGGAAATTTAAATAACAAAGTCAATAATAACAGGACAATAACAGAGATTTCAAATTCTTCACTAATTTTTGACTCTTTCATTGTAAACATCGAATAAGAACTATTTATTCTATAGTGTATACTGGTATTGCTTACCTAGCAGTTTTAAGTCTGTTTAGTTAGTTAGCTCAGAATGATGGCCACTCACACTACAGCGCTGTACTATAATGTACGTGTTTTGTATCATGTTGTTTTTTCATACTATGAAAATCATATGATATGAAAATATTTTTCAAATTGTCAGCTAAACAAAATTTACAACTTTATACGCAAACCGTTTATATTGCTTGTGGTTTGAATGTCCAAAAGTACGTTCAAATGGATGAAAAAAGGGAGCTATGAATGTTTGAATGGAAAAGCAATTCAAAGTTCGGAATAGAAAAGTTTGCTCAATTAGAAAAGATTCTGAAAATTGAAGAAAAATGAAAGATATGTTTATGTTTACGCATGCGAAAAAGAAAACGACAGATTGGCAGTTGCTATTCACTTGTATTTTGCACCATTTTTACAAAAGTCAATCACATATGTATCATGTCAAAAGCACACAAGCTGTGTTCAAAGTTCATGACCTCTAAAAAGTAGCAGCAAGAAATGCATCCCAACTGGTACAAACTGTCCTAAAAGTTTCTTTTGAAAGTTTCTCAATGTTTTGGTTCGGCATCTGTTGGAAATTTTTTAATGCATCCGCTAAAAATTGTTGAATTAGTTCCTCTGTCCCA